ATCTCGGGCAAACGGTAAGTTAATTGACATCGTGAGATTTTGTTGGTCTTCTTGCTACAGATATAAGTTGAGTGCAGTTGAATTCCAGAAAATATCACCGAACTTCCGCTTTATTAAAGCACGATTTAGGCCAAGCTTGTTATTTTAACGAGGAAAAACTACTTCTGTATTTGTGCTTTATCGAGAAGAAGTCTTCGCTATCCAGCAGCAAATTATATTGTATGCCCACAAGGTTGTGTTAAAATTAAAAATATTTCACTGCAGCATACAGATTTGATAACAGAGCAAGTTAAGTTTGCTCGGTACTTAATCTTGAACATGTTTCGCTTTGAATCACCTCCTTAACGAAGACAATAGAATGGAAATATATAAACAAGATAGATTAGAGACAAAGTAGAATCAAGACTCTGATCATTACCATAGATCATATCTTCAGAAATAAAGTTCTACCCTTTATATCTCTCGATTTTCATTTGAACCCTCATTGATAAGTCGTAGAATGGCCCCGTTTTTTTATATTTTGCGAGCCACCTTTACCAATCAAAATGCAAATCTCCTATTCTCATCTGAGGAAATCGTAGGCTGGGTTGATTTATACTCTGTCTAAGATCATATTGCCAAAAACAGTTTCCCTGATCGAGTTTCAGTGCTGTAGTTAATTTGGTCTTCTTGTTTAAAGCTGAGGAATACACAAAACTCCCTCCCTTTTTAATTTAGGTGCAGAAGGTCTTTTCGTTCAGAAGGAAATTTATTCCCTTAAATGTTCAACATTCATTCATGGAAAGCAGGCACATTTAAGAATTAGATAACTATTACACTGATATGTTTTCTGCCTGATAAATGCTAGATGTGACTAGATGTGGTCACATAAAGTCACTGCTATAAACGTCAATTGGTGCTATTAATCAAGAAAAGATACACACTTACATCGATAAACTACCGCATGACATTTTGAAGAACCTTGATGCAATGATGTCCCAATCTCACATATCGATAACTGAAACTCGATATGTAACTTTGAATGCAACCCACTTTTGTAATAATTGGCTTGCCATTATGCGTGTATGAATAAACGGTGGGTGGGTTTTGGAATGTTATTAACTATTGGATCGTAACTGACACCCACGGTGCTTTACAATTTTCAGCTTAAACGATATCTTGCTGAACATTTACAAGACGGATCGGGACCTCGGGCAAACGGTAAGTTGACGTCCTGAGATTTTGTTGGTCTTCTTGGTACGCATTTCAGTTGAGTGTAGTTGAATTCCAGAAAATATCGCCGAACTTCCGCTTCATCAAAGCACGATTCAAG